AGTTCTGCAACCTTGTGGCCTATCAGTTTGGACATAACAGGATGCCTCTGTTCTTAATCTGGTTGACCCCACGTTTTTTTTGCACACAGTATTCACATAGTATATTTCCACTGAGGCTTCTCAGCAGTTGGACTTTAACACAGTACTGTACTTTTCCACTCAGACAGCTCAATGTCTTAGCTTTTCCATGATAGGCCCACTATATCTTATATTCACTGCCACATTTGCCTTATCTTTATCCTTCACTTGGCAGCTAATTTACATGACGCAGCCGAATAACGGCGCAACATTCCTTTGTAAAAGGGGCTGATATTACTGACATTTAAGCGCCTGGGGTAGCACACTTTTCGTGTAACTTTCTCAGGGTAATGCTTCCGTCATTTAGTTTTCAATCCTGATATTCTATATTTGAACCATCTCCCTAACTGGCAGTTACACAGACTAGCTAGTTAACGACGTTAGCTTTAGCATGTTCGTCGGCTCATTCGGCTTTTTAAGTGAGATAAAAAATAACACTAAATAACAAATTAACTATCAACGTTACCACAATATCGCTCATGCACTAGCAGTTGATGACATTTATTAACAGCTTCACAGTTAGATGACAATGTTTTCTGCTTACCTCCTCCAACTTTCGCCAACGGTCTTTCTTGTCTGAATGATCCTCTCTCGCGATGATGATGGTTAAGTTTACGGTTAAGCCCAAATATCGCGAGTGCACACAGGATGAAGGGAAAAACCTTTCCCGCCAGATCGCGGACAAAATAAAACAATGGCAGAGTCTAGCAGAGTTCTCTTAATACATCCATGGAAGTGTCCAAGAGCAGTCAAGAATGTAGCATGTCTTATTGTTTGTCGTTTCACATCTTTACAACCGTGAACATTTAAAAGTAGATTGATTTTTGTCTCTGATTACATTAGTTGGTATCCAGTTTATTGGTGGTTATACCGCCACCTTCTGCTCTGGAGTGGGAATCATATGTACCCTAATCCCTTTGTGTCAGTTTATCTCAACATGAATGAATCTAATAAATGTGAAGTTGTTGCGATTCATGCAAACCATACATGTTTTCATCACGTTCATCTTGGAAACATGAAATGATTATGTTGAAAATGCATGTTACATTTTATTTGATGTAACAGCCAGCCAAAGTCCTTTTTTTTTAGTGTAAATATACGAAGCTTAAAATCTTGTCTAAAAATTGACCAGATAAAGAATATGTTACTAGAGTCTAATTTAGATTACCTCGGTTTAACAGAAACTTGGCTTACGGACAACTCTCCATCGGCTGCCGTACAACTTCCGGGTTACAATAGCTACAGGAGGGACCGAATGCACACTAAAGGGGGCGGTGTTCTAATTTTCGTGAGAGACACCATCCGTTGCAATGAGATTTTATGGCAAGACCCAATCGAACTAGAATGTGTAGGCCTAAACATGATCCTGTCGCCTCAGATGTCCTTTATTTTAATAGTAATTTATCGACCACCTTCCTCAAATGTTAGCTTCTATGATCAATTCAAGAAGGTTTTATGTTAATGTGATTTAAGAAAGAGGTAATTGTAATGGGTGACTTAAATTTGAATTGGGAAGATAAGTCATCAAGGAAAAAGCTTAAGCAAATTACTGATAGTTTTAATTTGACTCAAATCGATAAAGGCCCAACGCGAATAACAAACAGCACCAGTACCCAGCTTGACCTAATTTTAACAAATAGACCTGAAAGGATTACAAAATCATACAATATGGTAACAGGGCTGTCAGACCACAATATGGTGCTGGTATCTAGAAAACTAACTGGAAAACGGTTCACTGCGTATGCAGGTAATAAATAATCCTTTGGCATCCCAAAAACCAAGCAAGAAGACTTCAGATCTACTATACAAAACTTAGATTGGGAAGATCTAGTACTTGAAAATGATTTAGAAGTAACCAGTCAAAACTTTACGGGAAAACTACAGGCCACAATCAATGAATTTTCAATCATGATAAAACATAAAAATAAGAAACAGACTCTCCCCTGGATGAACGGACATGTCAGAAATGTAATGAAGCAACGGGACAGTGCCTTAAAAACTGACATAAAATCAAAGATGTCCCATGATAGACATATATTTGCCGGGCTAAGAAACAAGGCAACAAGGGAACTGAGAAAAGCAAAAGCGGATTTCTTTATCACAATTATTGAAAATGCTCAGGGCAACTCAAAAGCTATATGGAGCCAAATAAAACATTTAACTGGTCAAAACACTACGACAGCCAAGCCAATTGAATTGAGGGTTGAGGGCACAACTCTGCAATGCCCAGCTGATGTGGCAACTACACTCAATTATTATTTTGTTGAGTCAGTGGCTACCATATCCAGTAGCTTCATAGCTCAGGAAGTTAATGCACTCCCGACTGTCAACACTAGCGAACCAGCAGCTGTTCTAAAGTCAGTGTCTGAGACAGAGGTTGCGGAAGTAATTGCCAATCTGAAATCCTCAAGGGCTAAGGATATCTACGGTATGGACACATTCATGCTGAAAGACATTAACTCCTCAATTGTTAAGCCACTAACGCATATCATTAATATTGGAATCAATCAAGGTAGTTTTCCCAATCAATGGAAGCCTGGTCCCGTTATTCAAAGGTGGGGACCCTCTCATGACATCCAACTATAGGCCCATCAGTATCTTACCCATAGTATCCAAGGTATTTGAGAAATTGATTGTGTTAACTGTGTTCTTATTCTCGCGTCCAGGAAAGAGAAGCTTAAAAAGGAGACTAAATGGAGTCTCTGAGATTGTTTCAAAATTGGTACTTTAATTAATAAAAAGCGTGGTAAAGTCACAAACAGGATTGGTCCGACAGAAATACAGCTGTGCATCTGGCTCTCGTTAGCAGAGAAAAGAGGCCGACCCCTCAGGTCTCATTGTTTATATATCCTCTACTGGCTCCTCCCTGCGGGCCGGCTCTCCACGTATTTAATGTTCGTTGTTACCCATATCAGAGGATACAGACATTGTACATTCAATATATATCGAAACACGCCTTTTCTCCTCCTTAACTCTTTCATGACTTTTCATTTAACACATTCTAAACGCTGTAATCAATACTCCAAAAAATACAGGAAGTACTTCACAGCAATTTGGTTCCCGGCGTTCCGAATGTTGTGACATGCTACCCACATCTGTAAACAATAACGTACTCAAATAAACTGTACCTTCATTTAATATCCAACAATAATAATATCTCGACGTCTATAGTTGTAGTGTTGAAATCAGTAGGTTTCGGTGTGCAACATCATATCATATCGCTGCTAAATTCACCTCTATAGGAAATGGTATATTAGCCTCATGCTAAATGCTAACCAGAGATGAAGGATTTTCAGAATAAAAGCTTAACAACTGGTTGTGCACAAGAACTTCTGGTTTTTCAGTATAAAACAGCATTTAAACTGAAGGTACATTTAAGGTACATTATGCCATCAAAACATTGATTTTAATTTCTAACAGTCCCTCCTTACACACCTAAAAGGTGTAAATCAATGAGTTCTTCATCTGAACTCTGCATAGTACATAACTCATATCAAAAACATACAATACAAATGGAATGGTTCGAATAGCCTCAACTTTACAAAAATACAAAAATACTTTGACTGTGTTCAAACATAAAAGTTTTCCCTTGTGCATAACTTCTAGTGTTAACATTCAATATGGCTCTTCAAAATAGCAGCAATGGCTTGGTATTAGAACATTTCTTCCTCCCTCCTTTCACAGAAACCGTTCTCATACCACGCTCAGTGTTAAGGCACTTGTTTTTACAAAGTGAAAAGAAACGACCCATTTTAGAATAGCAATGATTTATAAAACATGGGATCCATCATATTAGAACAGTATAGAATAATAAAGAATAAAATATCTTGTACCAGTGTAATGTAATAATAAAAAATGAAAATACACTATCTTGGAATAGTATAGTATAATAATGAATAAAATAAACATACACTATCTTGGAATAGCATAAGTAAATTGAAATGGAATCACTCCATTTTAGCATTTTTTTTTTCACTTCTTCACATGATTTCATCATTTAAAGACTCTGGTGCCATTAAGCTCCAATGTTATCAGTCTTTGTATCGGTACTGGAGATATTTAAAACATGTTATATGTATTATGCTACACAAACATTATATTGCAGTTTTAGTTTTGCCAACTCCGTTTTTAATATGCAAAAAGACTGCAAAATGCATCTGATTATTTTGAGTATTTTCACAATCTTTCCAATCCAGCGTCTCTGTGCGAGGGGGCGGGGCAGTTTACACACGCGACTGCTACATGCAGCACACACACACACCTCCAATTATCTGTTTGAATCCTAAAATCCCATGTGTGAATATATAAGAGCGAGAGATTCAGTATTAGCATTGATGCTTCTGTCTTTAGGTCTACGGACCATTGGTGTGATCACCAAACTGGACCTGATGGATGAAGGGACAGACGCACGAGACATCCTGGAAAACAAACTACTGCCGCTCCACAGAGGTGAGAACCCCCCCACACGCACACATTTTATTAAATCCTTGATTGGAATCCAGCTATTACATTACAATATTTACAGACTTTATATACTACCCAAAACAGGGTGTCTTTTCTTTAGGGGTCAGCAAATCATCAATCTGCATTATTTTCCCTGTAATTCCTGACCTTGAAATTAAACAATTACTATGGTGTTAAATTGACTAACAGCTTTATTTGTATTGTTCCACATGTGAACAGTTCTCCAATTGTAGAAGTTATAATAATTTAATATTTGGTCGCAAGTGCTTTGGAATCAACGTTTGTCTTTATTCCATAACTCACATTGAACAACTGATATTTGTCTTTCTTTAGGTTACATCGGGGTGGTGAACCGCAGTCAGAAGGACATTGATGGAAAGAAAGACATCCGCGCTGCTTTGGCTGCTGAGAGGAAGTTCTTCCAGTCCCACCCGGGGTACAGACACATTGCAGAACGCATGGGCACACCACACCTGCAGAAGACCCTCAATCAGGTGAGACACACACGCAGGGCCGTACCTCCCTACAGGCCGATCATGCAGGCTGAGCATCACTCGAAGATGGGTTATTGTATGAGTAAAATGTCAAACTTTTGCCAATTGCCATATTAAAACATCAGCTGCAATTCACAACATGAAGAAGGCAGTCTCTGCATAGCGCATATAGGCTAATGGAGATGCAGTTATTTCCAGCATTCTTTATTTACCATTCATTCAAGTATTTTATGCCTTTTTATCTGCTAATGTAAATACATGATTTATGCAATTGCATGTCTTAAACGGACTGAACTGCTAAATCAAACCTGTGAACAGTGACATCAAAATAGCCAATCTGAGTTTTGTGGGTTTTGTTTTTTTGTTGTAGGTGAATGCAGAATTTAAGAGAATCACAGCAATTAATTTGCAATCCAAGTTCTTCTCTTCTCTGGATATTCACTCTACAAGCCTGATCGACGTGTATACCAAGAAAGGTGGAGTTCAAGGGAAGAAGATCAAAAGCATCATGCTTCCCATAACCCAGGTATGAAAACAATGTAAAGGTGACAAAGAAACTGTAGGAGCTGTACAAAGTCTACGATGTTCCGGGAATAGCATAGCATCCGGAGCATTATGTTTTCGATATTATTTTGACACTTAGCACCACATCCATTCCCCCAGTGGGGGTCATTGTATCAGAGTGAGCGGCATACTATTATGAAGGCCTAAAATAACGCACTACAACGCTGTCCCTGACAGCAGTCTTTCATGGAAATGGCAGATGTTCCTACCCCAATGGTCACTGAGTGTACTGTAGGGCTGCAGCCAGGGGCGGCGGGTACTGTAGGCTAGGGAAGGCTAAGCCTTCGCAAATATTTTTGTCACTGCATCCTGGTAAAATAAAAATAAAATGTTTGTGTCTTTGACATTAGCGCTGCTATGCAGCCACCAGTAAACTGTACTACGAAGCCAGTTCAACATACCCTGGATATATTTGAGTTATCTTAACTAACCCTAACAAACGAGATCTCGCTAAGTGGTCCTACGGCGCTGGTTATCAACTCTGTAAATCAAGCCAGGGATTCTCTCTCCAGCTGAGAGCACATTCATGTGAAAGGGGCGGGGTTAGCTACATTTGACCAATCACACACAGGGACAAGTGTACTGCGCAGCGTCATACTTCATTAATGAAAAGTAAACTAATATTAGACAAATATGAGCTTTAAACATCCATGATGACTTAAACATATAATCCAGGATACAAGCCACATAGTTGTACCTGCAAGGTGATTATAGAACAACTGGTTAAAAAATAAATAAACTACAGAGCGTTTGAAAGCGTACAACAGTTTTATGATGCTGCCCCATAGACACGAGTGGATCTGACTTTAAATACATTTGAGTTGAGTGTTTCGTCAACCCAATGTGTTGCTTAAAATAATACTTCTGCATACAGTATGTGACACTGTAAGTGTTGCACGGCCGGATACGGCTCAGCTGACTCAGATAAGGAAATATATATTATCTGATCGATGATCTGATTGATGATGTGATATGAACGATAAGTGTGAGACGTCGGCGTCTTCTCTGCATACGGCAGTTTAAACTGTATTTCCTTTATCCTGTAATATGACGTGATAGATTTAAACTCCGCACACTGAGCTCTGATTGGTCACTGAGTTGATCTATTTTCTATACACGCCGGTGGCGGGCAGCGTCAGGTAAAACAAGTTATTTAGCCTTCCCAAACCTGAGCCTCACGCGCCGCCTATGACTGCAGCTATCAATTATTTTAGTAATCGAGTATTCTATCAATTATTCCATTGATTAATCGAGTAATTGGAAACAGATTTTTAAAGCAAAAGTATTTCTTCAATAAAAAGCCATTTTAAATATTCAAAATAAGACAGGTCTTCTAATTATTTTCCTTTTTTAGAAAAATGTATTGCTTAAATTGCATAGCATATTATCTGACTAAACCCATTTAATTAAAGTGCAATATTACATTCAGGGTTTTAAAGAAAACATTTGTGAAACGGTGAAACCTAGTCTGCTTGTTGTTCTTAATGGGCTTTTTTATTGCATGTTCTCTGACCTGCATACTTAGACTAACAGCATTGACGTGAGACGCGAATGCATCCTCAAAGGTCTTTGTGTCTACTTCAATGAAGATCCAGAGAAGCTGGTGAAGGAATACATGGTATGTTGATGTACCTTTTTTATCTTCACAAAGAGGAGGATGATCATAGTTGGAATGGATTGTGTTTCCTCTAAAACTAACCCTTAGGGAAATGTTGCCTTTACATGTTGATGATGTTGGATGTGTTAATGCTTTTTGGAAACAGTGTTTTTTGTTCTTTCTTTTTTTTCAATTTGGAAAACCCAAACTACATAAAGCTCAATATGACCGATTATAGAAATGGGATGTAATGCACATCAGTGAAAATCACTCTCCTTCTTATTTGTTTTTCACAGAGCATCGACAACAGCAGTCAAACGGCAATGGCAGAGACGGTCTTCGGAATATTTGTCATTCGACACGAAGGTGCAGAGCCTGGGGATGACCCCGAGAACGTTGGGATCATTCTGGAGGGGCTCGAAGTGTTGGATGAGTTGGGAAACGTATCTTTTGCGGTGGCGATGATGTTTGCTCTCGTGTATGCTATAAATTTGAGCTACCCTTCAGAGCTGAAGTTTACATTTGAAGCACTGCAGAAAATAATGATGGAGCTAGATGGAAACAGACTATCCACAAAAGGACAAGTTCTCAAAACATTGCTTTCCCGTGCCTAATGTCACTGTTTGGGATCGCCTCATCTTCCAAACACGCAGCCATCAGAGATTCGGTGACTCACCTCTTTGACAGAAATGTTGATTGTATGCAAGAAGTATCAAAGTAAGCATTCAAAGTTGGCTGTAGCATGGTTACGTGGACCTCACTGAGCAGAGGGCTGTGCGAGGAGGCAGATGTTACCATGTTGCCTTATTTGGTCTACTGTTGAAACTCAAGTTTGTTATATTGTTCACCCTAAAGTTGAAACATTTTAATATTTGGGAAGAAACTGTGTTTTTTCAAGCATCTGTCAGTGTAAAGCTATTTTGTGAAATATATATTCACTGTTATATTTAATGTCTGTCAGTGTAAAGCATTGTTTATCTTTGCCTATTTTGTGAAATATATATTCACTGTTATATTTAATAACAGTGAAAGCCAGTCTGCTCGTTGGCTGAGATGGTGTTCTTAATGGGCTTTTTTTTTGCATGTTCTCTAATCTGCATACTTAGACTGACAGCAATGACGTGAGACGCGAATGCATCCTCGTATTATATTTCATATAATATTTGGGAAGAAATTAAATTTTTTCAAGCATCTGAAGCATTGTTTCTCTTTGCCTATTTTGTGAAATACAATTTTATTTCAACATCTTGCGTTTGTGTTATGTTTCCACCCTTGAAGCTCACTAGACTGTAGACTGTTGAAATTCTGTTTCTGTTACTGTTCACTCTAAACGTTTTAAATATGTAAACACTCAAAAGTTATTCTTTGAATGAACTTGATTAAATCATGGACAGTATTTCCACATGATGAAATGGCTTTCTTTCAGCTTTAAGCAATTACGTTGACCCAACCCAGGTCAATTAAGTTGGTAACACACCTTATAAATAAGTAGTATCAATCCTAATAGATTACGTTGACCCAACCCAAGTAAATTAAATTGGTAACACACCTTATAAATAAGTAGTATCAATCCTAATAGATTACGTTGACCCAACCCAGGTAAATTAAGTTGGAAACACACCTTATAAATAAGTAGTATTAATCCTAATAGATTACGTTGACCCAACCCAAGTAAATTAAGTTGGTAACACACCTTATAAATAAGTAGTATCAATCCTAATAGATTACGTTGACCCAACCCAAGTGAATTAAGTTGGTAACACACCTTATAAATAAGTAGTATCAATCCTAATAGATTGCGTTGACCCAACCCAAGTAAATTAAGTTGGACCAATCAAATTGCTTAATCTTGAAAGAAAGTGATTTAATCATGTGGAAATATTGTCCATGATTTAATTACGTTCATTCAAAGAGTTATTTTTTTGAGTGTAGGTGTCCACCTAATATACCCTTTGGTTTTACCTTCGGATCCCAAATAATTCTTGCATTGTTTACAGTTTGGACGACTTTCCACTTCCGGTTCATTTGGATTGCTCTGTTTACTACCCTACCACGCTTGATATTGTTGCTGTTAGAGTATACATATTTGAGCGGTGTTATCCTGCAGTCATTGTCACTGTGTGAAATGTTGTGTGGAACCACACCTGTACATACGCTGTTATTACTTGCTGGAAACGTCGGAGGTGTTGTCATTTTCGCTGCAAGACTTCTTGGCTAAGAAATCACTGCTGGCGGTGAATTCCCCGGCGACAGTTCGCGCGTACTGTAGGAGCAAACACAATAGTGGTGGCTTAAAGCCCACCTCTGCTCCGCGCCGTCCTTTAGATGAGCCTGGTCAGATTGATAAAAGAGGGAGTTCAACACACCGGCATAAAAGTTATAACAATAATCTGATTTTAATGGTAAAAAACACCAATACAAGTTTACAGAGTACTCTGGACTCCCAGTTCTACTGCTGTGCGATACAGGTATCAGGACCAGCCAGTCAGAAACAGGGGGCATTTTGCATGAAGAAACAACAGTATATATGGATATATTTTGAGGTGGAGAGCCACTTCTTATCTTCCACCGGACCCAACTCCTTTAATTTCCCAGGGAAGGTTTTACACAAACTATTACACAACAGTATATATGGATATATTTTGAGGTGGACAGCCACTTCTTATCTTCCACCGGACCCAACTCCTTTAATTTCCCAGGGAAGGTTTCACACAAACTATTCTTTTAAAACAATCAAACATTGTACACAGATATATTGGTATTGAACATTGTACACAGATATATTGGTGCTTGGGATTATTTGACCCAGAAAGAACCTTGGAAAAAGAACATGTGTGTGTGTTAGTGAGGGAAAGTGTATGTGTGTGTGTGTGTGTGCATGCTGATAAGCAGAGGCGTGTGTGTGTTGCTGATATCTGGGTTAAGGAGTTTATGTGTGTGTGCTGCATGGAGACAGGAGGTGTATGTGTGTGTGTCAGGGTCTCTGGGTCATGGAGTGTAAGTAAGAAGGTTTAGATATATAGGATTACTTTAAACAGTCCCAAATAATACATGTTCACTTCAATACAGTTCAAGATAATACCTGTTTACTTTAATACAGTTTAGAACAATATCTGGGTGCTTTAATCCCTCTTTTGATCTCTCCTTCAGAGATCAATTTATACACAGCATTTGAAACATAACCTACTGTCATTCTTTTCTACTGTCTGTTCCCCAACATTTATATAAATCCATCAGAAGCTGGGATTTAGAGCACTTTTAAACCTTTAGGAACAGTCCATCATAACAACTTTTATGACAGTGGAGGGAGACCAAAATATGTTAAAAAAACTCGTCCTTGTCGGCTGAGTCATCGTGCTCTTCCCCCTCCGACGCGTAAGCCAACAAGGGCATTTGGTACGAAGGGGAAGAGGCAGCTTTTCCTTCAATGGTGGAACTGATGAGTCTAACACACAATGAGCGGATGCAAGGCACACAACAACAACAACCACATGTTACCAAAATGGCAATAAAAGTAGCCACAGACATTAGAAGAGACATTATTAAACTTTTCCATTTACCAAACATGTTTGTCATCCATTCCTCCATAGGATTGTTGATCCCTGATTGTTCATGCATGGTTTTAGATAGGGCGCGTAGACCCTCTAAGGCAGGGGTAGGCAAGTAAGTTTGGCCTCGGGCCAATTTTTTGCTGAGCCACAAGATGGCGGGCCAGAACATAATCAAAGCCTAATTCAAGGAATTGATTTTGTTAAGAGGGCGCAGCGCCCCTATTCCCCGGTTCAGAAAAAAACTCTGATATCGCTGATATCCCTCCCCATCAACACTCTGATGCGCAGTCAGATCCGCTGATTGGTTCACTGATGATATAGGCGCCCAATCCAGAGCCTCTGGCTAGACCCGCCCAAAGGGAGGCTCGTCCTCTCTAGCCCCATTTCAGTCCCAAAGCCAGGGCTATTATCTGTATTTTAACAGACTTATCTTTTAAATTGAGGTGTATTTATTGTTCTCTTCAAAGTTTATTTTTCTCTGAAATGTGAGGGAGGATGGTCCTCCCTTTCCTCAATGGACGAGCCTCCACTGAGTAGAGTTATTAACTAGGTAGCAGTATTATTTAACATACTTTTATTCTGATAAGTATTGTCAAGTTCTCTGGGGTTTTGGCATTCATTTGAGTGTTTGCCCACATTTGAGAGGCTTGAGGGGCAAAGGGGACGCATGGACAACTGGAATCCTTGTTCCTTTTCTTTATTTCAACTTTTCAAGGACACATTAGGATTCTTTCAGGTTGAAAACCTTTAAAAAATATCAAAGGACAAAATAAATCAATTACAGCATGTTTTGCTTTGCAATTTAATATAGGCTATTATAACCTAAATTAATCAGTAACCAAGTATTTTACTCAAACTCAATGTATTTAATAGTTAAATAAATACTTTAATTGACCTGGTTCCCCACAACCACACATTTGCCATATGTGACCCGCTCTATCGAAATCAGTCGGAAGTCGCAACGGCTCATTTCAAAATAAACGTGGATTTGCGTAAAAAACTAGTTTTTCAGGGTTCGGGTGTTTTGTTTGATTTTAAATAAACAAAGTCTTGGCTTTCAGAATATGGAACTTGTATTTCCAAAATCACACGATAAATACATGTTTGAAGCTTGTAAAGGGAAGATGACAGCTCTCACTCGCCACCCTGCTCTTCCACAGCGCCGCTTCCCCTCCCTCCGCTGACATTATGAATGTAAGCGGATATGTCGGGACAGAATTTATTTTACCGGACAAATTTGAAACTTACCGGTCATGTTTCAATAATAATAATAAGAATGGTGTAGCAAAGTTTCCGTTAGCAGGTAATCACCGGACTATGACAGGATATGCTGATGTTTAAAACTCAGTTAATGGGAGTCATTTTTATATTGCTTCAATTTATAATCGTTACAGATCGAAAAGTTCAGATTCATTTTTCAATAAATGATTCCACAAACAACAAACAACATAATTATTACATTCAAACAAACTACTTGTAGTAGATGAAGTACATTATTCAAAAGTTTACATTAACTTTGGATAATAACACGGGAGAAACGGATCCTCTCTTTTTCCCTCTCCCTCTCTCCTGACAGCCCGTCAGTTTCTCATGCAGCGCGCTAAACAGTGGGCGGGGCTTCAGCTGATCTGATCTCTCTCTCGGGTCCGGTTATACTTCACTCGCGTTTATGTCCATATCGATCAGATCCAGCTCTGCTGATCGGCCTTTATAGAGAGCACCGATCAAACTATTAAGAGTGAATATCGGCCGATAATGACCGGCGGCCGATCGATCGGAGCATCCCTAATTATTACCAGACATTTTGACCAGCAGGTTTTGAATTTACCGGGTTTTAATTAATTTTACCAGATAAAAACCGGTGATTACCGGCTAACGGAAACCCTAATGTGCGACTCTCGGTCCTATGTTGTTAAAAAAATAAAAAATAAAAAATCTCAAAATAATATTTTATTTTTGATTCTCCAAATTACGGGCCAAATATTATTGCTGGCGGGCCAACAATGGCCCGCGGGCCGCCTGTTGCCGACCCATGCTCTAAGGCTTTAGTCACGGAGCCGTCA